ATAACTTTTTATTTAAGTTCACTATTGGAGTTAAATTGGACGAAATCTCGTTATAGCTCTCCCAAACAATAGTAACAGTATATTATGCTACTGCCATATTCGGATGGCAAAGCCACCCAAATGTCAACTTTTAGTCGCTCATGTATAAGAAGAACATCCAATCAAAAGCATGGATTTGCACAGAAACACTTAACTCTTCAGTAAGCCATTCACTTCGTTGCACTCCATTCCTGGTACGTGCTTAAAAAATTAACTGGTACCATATTTTAATTATATTCTTAGTGCAAAGTTCAAAGTATAGTTAAAAGCCTTAAGACTGGTTTTATTTGTAATAAACAAAAATTTTCTTATATAAACCACATTAGAACAACCTTATTAAAGTAACACAAGAACAAACTAGGAGAATGCAAGACTAAAAAATTGCAAGTTCGCGTCTTACTATATAAACTGACAAAATAATTCAGAAGTTAGATGAGAAGCACTTTTGAAATGCTTCTATTTGTTATGTGCATCCTAATCATTTTTTTGGTATTTTTTTTTCACAAGCTCAAAGCGTGGATTGTTTTAGATATATTTTGTACATGCTAGATTTCAGCACCAATTTATTGTCTAAAACTCAATGCATAGTTTAGAAGCTCAAGAAATTATGTATTGTAAACTATTTTCATAACGAACTGATGGTTCCAGAAGAAAAAAAAAAAGTTCAAAGGCTCATTTCCCTTGGAATTTTTAAAATTGCTAAGGGCTTTGCCTATTTATTCTTATTTACATAATGAAGCTATAACTAGATAACTGCGCATGTATTCATGCCAAAACCAGGAAAAGAAATAATAATGTTGTTATTTTAGCATTTATGCAGTAATTGCAGTAGTATGTGGAATAATAACTCAAATAATTTTGACTTGCCATTACATGCTATAATATAAGAAGATAAATAGAATAAACGGATAATTCTAAGTTTGTTATTGAATTAATTTTTAAAACTTATATCAGTAAATAGAACTTTGTCTAATGATGTAAGAATTATCACAATCGTGATTCCTGTTATACGTAAATTTTTGGTGTTTTTATTTTATGATTTGAAATAAATATTACCATAAATATTTATAGCCATAAATATTTACACGGCAAACCTGAAAAAGCCTGACGAAACCTGACGGAATGCGCGGTTTCCACAATAATTATCATTGTAAAGATTGAATTAATAATTCCAGGCAAATTCTGTATGTTTCAATTACATGTCTTAGCCGCTACTTTCAATTATTTACAATAGGATTGTCCAGAATTAACTTATTTCGAAATAAGTGGGAGTTTAAAAGATCCTACTCCTATTTTAAAATCCTGACGCACGGAATTAAATGTGCACACGCTAATAAAATTGACTTTTGTCTGATAAATATTTACGGGGAAACGATTATGTAAATATGTTTATACGTTAAAATGAGTGCTGCAGAGCGAAAAGCTGGAAGTGAATATTTAAGTTTTCATCATGGCGAGTTAGCAACAGTAGGAACCTTTGATGTTACACGACTTATCATTCACCCGGTGTGCAACATATAAAAAAATTATTTTACAATACCAGATCATTCAGCTAGTACAAGTTATGATTATAATCACACACAATTTTATTATAATAAAAATGGTGTGGCATAACTTGTACTAGCGGAATGATCTGGTATTGTAAAATAATTTTTTTATATGTTGCACACCGGGTGAAGGATCAGTCGTGTAACATCAAAGGTTACTAGTTTTGTGAATTCTGATTAATCATGTATATAATCAGTGTCCTAGTCATTTAGTAAAATTTCGTACGAACGTATTATTATTGTTACTAACTATCAAAACATTGTTTATCAGTACGTAATACAGAAGTTATTAAGCGGCTAAATTCGCCACGATGAGAACTTAAATATTCACTTCCAGCTTTTCGCTCTACAGCAATCATATAACAAAATTTATGGATCACGTATTTTAAAGTAACTTCATCACTTATTTTATCTGAAATCGGAGACCAAGTCCTTAATTCTAATGAGGTTTTAGAATTACATTTTTTGAAAATAGTTTAAAAGATCCTGCTTCTATTTTTAAAATTCCGACTCAGGGAATTAAATAGGTGCACACGTTTGTATTCTTCGTTAAAAAAAAAATAGGATTTATGTATCACATATTTTGAAGTAAATACGTCATCCAAATGTACTAATTATAATATAGGAAAACGGATCCATTGGGTTCCGGAGCGCCGCTTCATGCATGTTGACAAGGGTCAACGGATCGAAAAGAAAGGGTCGCACTGGTCAGGGTTACACACCACGTGCAACAACCCCTGCATCCACTCGATCGTAATGCAGGGCCTGGGTCGAAATCAAGAAGAGATCAATCAACGTCAAACGCATGAATCACTGAGTAAATTAATTAATAAGCAGAGATACGTAATCACAAGCCACTGATTGCAATCAATGTATAAAAAACCGACAACAAAAAGCACTTTCGACACTCTTTCCCCCTTCAACACAATAGTCTTGGACAAACAAGTTTCTCGACCCAACCAAGACTTTATAGTATATTTTGTAAGAATTTTTTTTTTGTTAGAACACAAGAGATTGTTTTTTTAGAGTTATTAGTAATTTTTTGAAAAATACTAAAAAATACTATTACAACTAATCTTGTTATCTACATCCAAAAATTTCCATTTTTGGTTTGTATAATAGTAAAAAATAAGGATGTACCAGTGCAAAAAATCTAAATACTGTATTGAAATTAAATCTATCTTAAATTATTAATATTGATATTTAAAATATTTTATTAATATTGATAATTTAAGATATATTTGATTTTAATATACTATTTGATTATAGGTTATATAAATTTAAATTTTAAATTTTTTTTTTGGCATAATTTGTAATGTAATAATGATTAAGTTACATATTAAAATTAATTATTTCTTAAATTATTAATTTTAATAAAATTAGATTTTAATGTTTATGTTTTGTCTCTATAAGGTATAATTGCAGTTTAAAATTATTTATATTGTACAATTGTAAGTAATAATAAAGTTTAATTTAACTTAATAAGTTTAAATAAATAATTTATTTAGAAATATTAAATATATCATTATTTTGATAAATATATATAGATGTGAGTTAAAAATAAGTTATAATTTTTATTTTTCTATATAATACATATCTATTTAATAAGAAATAAGTAAAACTTAAGTTTAAAATATATTTTTTTAACTATGGATACTATGAATGAAGTTGGGTCTGATGATAATAATGTTATATTAAATAGTAATAATGAAATAGAACAAGAAACTGTTTTTTAACATATTGACAATAAAGAATACTTTTAAATAATAATAATTATTTAGATGATATAATAGCAAATAATCTTTTTGCTTCTGATAATATAATAGATAATAAAATATTACCTAGTAATTATATACTATTACCAATGCATAAAGTTGCTAAATTAAAAAATAATATCTAGAATTATTTTGATCCATTTTAAGATAAAAATAATTTTACAAATACAGTTAATCATTGTACTATTAAAATAATATATAACAATAGATAAGTAAAATATAATAAAATTATTATTATAAGAGATAAATTTATTGGAAATTTTTGAGATCATTTGGGTATTATTTATAGAATTACAAAAGATAATAATACAAAATTTACTAAATCAAATCAACAAAATATTAAATATATATTTTAAAAAACAAAATCAAAATTCTATACAATGAAAATTACAAAATCAAGTTTTAGTAAAATTTATTATTGAAGATAATCAGTTATTAAATATATTAGAATTAAAAAAATTTCAAATATTTATAACTTCTTTAAATCCAAATTATACATTAGCAACCAATAAATTTGTTAAACAAATGATATATGAAGCTTATAATTATTCTTTAAATATACTTATTCAAAAACTCAATTTGGCTATTTCATGTTTTTTTGACTTGTGATTTATGAACTTTTTGTAGTAGAGATGAATATTTAGATGTAGCATATTATTGGATAGATAATGAATTTAAACTTAATAAAATTGTTCTTAAAATTTACAAATATGAATATCCTAGACATCCCTCCCTCCATAGACAAGGTCAATGGTTTAATTCTAGCTGGAGGCAAAACTCTGTAATCTATGGAAGCATATGAATGTACGCGAAGCCCTGTGGCTTAAGTCCATGCGAATAAAAGATCGGTATATAAGGAAGTTCCTAGAAAGAAGTTTCCTGATATAGAGAGTTAACGCTCAATGCGAGAGAAGCGATAAATATACCAGAAATGGAGAGAAGGCACACTAGCGAGTAATATGGTGAACATAAAAGGAAACTATGAAAAAGAAATGAACTTACTAAAACTCAAACACTTCTGGCACCAAAATCAGTTTAGTGAATACGGGATACACTAACACGGATAAAAATCTAAGGGGGGTAATCTTGGTACTATACTTAGTAAGTTTGTGTCGAGGGTAAATTCGAAGGACTATGGATACTCGGTAACATCCAATGAGGTGGTACCTTGATATAAATAGTAATTAGATAGCCCTAACCTAGTATGTCCATGTAGTAATGGAAGGTTGTAATGCATAGAATTGAAAATCAGAAAGTTTAAATAGGAGATTCACAGGTGTAGTAACTAGTGGGTAACCCTTGGGCAGAACCCTTAATTAGATAATGACTAAAGTTATACGTGTGACTAGTTATACTTTTATTGATAAACTATGTATTCATTAATAACTAGGTATTACTCAATAAAAGACAGACAGGCAAGATTGCTGCTTATAATATAAAAAAAAAAAAAAACAAATATGAATATCTTCATATTGAAAAAACAATTAAAGTTATATTTAATAATATTATAAATAAATAAAAAATAAAATCTAAAGTTATTAGTATTACAACTAATAATATAACAAATTTTAAAAAAGTTATTGAATTATTATATCATATTAAATATCTAATACAATAGTAATTAAAAAAGAACTACTGTCAACAAAAAAATTAATAACAAAAATTAAACACTTTTTAGTTTTTTTACTTCTTCAAAACAGTCAGAAAGATTAAAACTTATATAAAAAATTTTTTTAAAAATTTCTTCTGATAAGATATTATAATTTTTAAAATATTTATTTTTATATAAAATTTTACTATTTTTGTTATATTTTTCTTATAATTTTAATTATATCAATATAACAAATATATTGTTATGATAAATTATAATTAATATAAATTACTTTATATGAATATATAAGATTAAAAACTTGAAAACTGATCATAATAAATCATTAAATTTTATTTTTTATACTTATATAAATTTACTATTATTAAAGTTTTATATATAATAATTTATAGTAATAAAAATAGTAATTTTTTATATAAAAATAGATATTTTTAATTTTAATTAAATAATTTAAATTTAAAATTTATTAATCTATAATTTTTAATTTTAGACAGTTATAAATTATCATAAATATCTTAAAGTTATTTAAAATATTGAAACTAAATGAAACTCTCTATTTTTAGTTTAGAAATGACTATTAGAAATAAAAAATGTAATTAATATTGTAAACTAACTATAAATCAAACAACAGATTATCAAACTAGAAAAGAATATTAATATCTTAAACAAATTTTATTAACTAATCAAAAATAAGATATTTTATAATTTTTAATAAAATTTTATTACTAATTGCAGAAACTACAATATTTTTAGGATTAAACAAATTTTCTATGATAGGTTTTATTAATCCAATTATTAATACATTAAAATTAGGTGTTTTTTAAATAATTACAAGATTTTGATATATTAGAAGAAGTAGATTTTACAACAACTGAAACACCTTTTGATGACAATATTAATTTTGATAATATTAATTTTGATAAATTATTAGAAAATAAATTAGATAATAATAGTTCAGAAAATTATAATTTTATAGTAGAAAAAGTCAAAATAGCATTATACAAAGCATTACAATATTATTAGAAATTTTCAACTCACAATGAATTATTATGTAGTTTATTGGATACTTGATATAAAAACTTGAATTTATCTCTAAATCTAAACAAAAATTAACTAAAGATATTTTGATACAATTATATAATAAAGAACAAAATAATGTAAATTATGATTTAAGTGATTTTATAAATAATGATTATCAATTTGTTTTAGATAATGAACTTGTAAATAACTCTTTATTAAAACAACTTAAAACAAAAAAAATATAGTGAAAATGAAATTCAACAATAATTAATTTTATTAAAAATTGGAATTGAAACAGATGCGTGTATTTGGTAAACTGGTCAAAAAAATACATTTTCTATAATTATAAAAATAATACAAAAACATTTATCAATTTAAGTAATTTCAATTTTTAGTAAAAAATTATTTTTATATATAGTGTTAGATCCAGAATATGTAATTAATAAGTTATTAATTTCATTATAAGATTATTATTGCATGATTATCAGTAATGATTCTGTCTCAGCTAGAAAAATCTTATCAAAGTTGAAATATCTATGATTATAATAATTATAATGCATATATTGGATATATTGATTATAATTAGTATAATAAATATATATGATATAAGACTATCATCATTATAAGTATGATAATAGATATCAACAACCTAACAATAGATAAAATATTGCTTATAAATAACCTGTAATTTCATCTTAATAATAAGATAAATTTTAACATAAGAGATTAATAAACACCTTATCTTGTAAACATCAAATAAAGGTTTTTCTACAAGTGACTATAGAGAATCATCATCATAATAAAATACTTATCCATAATATTAATAAATTCTATTCTGCTAGTACAGTATATCCTAATGTAGTGAGAAATACTGAAAATCTTGAGTATTAAAGAAGTAGTCTTGATGTAATGTAAGCTATTCCAATATAATCCAATTCGAATCAAAAACACTCACCAAATTCATACACCATTTTTGACTAAAAACTAACTGATTATTACATGAAGCTGCTTTCAATTAGCAACAGACTTACTAAATTAGAAACTCTCAGTAGGAATTGTAATAAACAAAAAAAGAACAAAATTAAGCCTTAAGTTATTTAACAAAATATTATTTTTAAAAAGAAATATAAAATATATAGAATCAATCTGATCAAATTAAGATAATTATATAAAATAATAAGATAAGTTTTGTTTTAAATTTTTATTCTTTATGATTTAAACTAATTTTGATCAAAATTATAAATATACTTAAAAATATCTAAGTATAATATATTTTTATTTTTATATATGTATTGGCAAAATCTGTTTTATTTTATTAAATTAA